CTAAATTTTTTAAAAAAGAAAAATTCAACTAAACAAGTTTTAAATCTCAATTGCTCCAATATAGTCCCTTAGTATGAGTGGTGACTTCCACAGTGACAGTTTTGTAATCATAATTTCACCCTTCCGTTTCCATGTATTATTTGGATGGAGTTTTAGAAATATAATTTCACCACACATTTCAAAACGTGTTTATCTTTCATGTTTGTCTATTCTCTCTCTTTTGTCTACATTATCAAACATTACCTTAGTCAGTGTTAATGTAAATTGTAATTTGTGTAAATTACCACACCACCAACTCCACCTACCATCTCCACTACCACCCACCACCTCCACTACCATCCACTACCACCACTCACCTACCTCACCTACTCCCAAATCCTCTCCTATATAATAGCTTGTAATATACAAAATAAATACAACAATCTTGTAATACATCAATCAATAATATACATCAATTTATTTTACTCTTTTGTCTTTTTCATTCTGAAAAGCAAATGATTTTTGAATTTTGGGTCCACCCGGTCATCCTCTCGGACGTCCCCCCAAAAGTTCGGCCAATCGTCCAACCGGTTTACCGGAACAGTGTAAATTTTATTTATTTATTTATTTTTATTTTTTACAATTGCCAATCACCATTTGCCACCTGTTATTTGGATAAAAAAATTATATTTGTTTTTAATATTTTTTAAATATAAAAATTATTTTTTTAGATCAAAATGACAAAAAAAAAAATTTTTGAATTGAATGTTAAAAAAAGTTTAGTTATGCGTTTTGAATAAAATTTTCAGTAGAATTTTGAGTGGTGTGTTTGGTTATGAGTTATAAGTTTTTTAATTAAGTTTTGAAAACCAAACAACTTTTCTCATTTCATATGTCATATCAAAAATTCAAAACTCAATTCAAAATTCTTTTCAAAACTCATAACCAAACAAATTTTCTTTTTTCTAATCATAATTTCAAAACTTACAAACTCAAAATATAACTCTATTCTCAAATCATAATTTTAAAACTTTACCAAACGCTACCATTATTTTCTTATTGGCAATCAATTGACACCATTACGTTGTGTTTTATTAGGAGATTTAGAAAGAGATTTGAAAATAGAAAGAAAAAAATAGGTGAAATGTAAATAAAATATATCTATATTTCACCTAATTTTACACTTTTTCTCTTTCTTTTTCTAACTCTCTTCTCAAATCTCCCAATCAAAAATCAAATACAACATTAATAACACCTGTGTGATTGCTTTAGGATGAGCGGGGAAAAAAAAAAATGTCTACTCCTAGATCCATGTTGGTGTCATACATATTGCGTCTGTGCGTAATATCAGTTGATTGTCAATTTCCATACAACTATAAAAAATAAAAATAAATGAAAAAATGTATACTTAGCAAAATATTAAACAAGCAATGCAAAGACTTTATTTAAAATATTCACACAACATAAAATTTAGGAGCAAAAATAAATCTCAAAGGGGCAAATTAATAAGTTTAGCAAGGCAATTGCCCCCACTTAAGTCTCGTTTGGCAACCTTCAATTTTAGCTAAAAGTTAAAAAGTTATTATAAGTTGTCACATCACTCTCTCTCTCTCTCTCTTTTTCTTTTTTCTTTTTTTGCCTACTTTTTTTGTAAAAAGTTAAAAAATTACTAAAATAGTTTGTTCCCAAACAAGGTCTTAGCCTATCCATGTGTAAATTTTATTTTTATTTTTAATAATGAATTTCTCTCTTCTTAATGCACTTTCAATCTAAAATTATGCCTTGAAAGTCTCTTGTTTTAAAATTCTCACTAAATTGTGTGGTTAACAATCCATTAGAAATAAAAAAAAAAACAAGGAAATCCCTAGCCTTCATACACACATACTATGTGTATAATTTGTCTATTTGTAATAAATGTGTGTGCGTGCGCGCGCGTGCGTGTGGAGATAGAGAGAGAGATGTGAAGGTATATGTATTAACCATTGGTTGATGAGTTGCAAACGATCACTACAAGAAATAATACATTTGCCGACCAAAAAATTTGTCACTAAAAACCCATTTTTAGTCGGTAAAAGTTATCCGGGACCAATTTTTTTGGTCGCTACTTTGGTCGCCAATTGAGGGTTGGCAAAAGTAATTCACGACCAAAATTTTGGTTGGTTGGGAAAAGTTGAATTTGCCGACTAAATTTTTAGTCGCTAAATATGTTATTGCTGCAACTAATCCATTTTGTTGCTAAAACACTTTGGTCGTGAAAAGTGATATTTTCCCGACCAAATATCTTAGTCGCCAACTGTCACATTCCACGACCAAAAAGTTTGGTCGCAAATTATCACATTCAACGACCAAAAAGTTTGGTCGCCAATTGTGACATTCCACTACCAAAAAATTTTGATCACCAATTGTGACATTATACGACCTCTTAGTTTGGTCACCAATTGTCACGTTTCACAACCAAATTGTTTGGTCGCCAATTGTCACATTCCACGACCAAACATGTTTGTCGCCAAAAGAAATGTTTGCGCAACTAAAACTTTAGTCGGCAATAGACCTATTCGCGACCAAATCCTTTGGTTGCCAAAATTAATAATTTTAACTAATTATTTAGTCGCCAAATGTGCTTGGTGATACACTGACTACTTTATTTAATCTGCAAAAATATAACTTATCTTTCCCGACTAATCAATTGGTTGCCAAAACTAGAAAAATAAAACCAAAATTTGGTCGCTAACATCCAACAAAATAAACATGTAATTTATAATAATCCATCCAATTTATTTAATATAATCTATAATTTACAAAAATCATTCAAACCAATAAATAAATTAAATCATGAACATTCAACAAAATACATATATCAACCATTTCTGAACCTGTTTAATTAAGTCAGCAACTATTATAAGTTTTCATCCACAAGTAATTCCAAATTACATATTTCATCTAGCATAAAAATTTAAAATATAACAAGTACTTATTATTATGTTTTAAATTTTTATCCATGTGCATCAACCCAAAAATATAACTAGTAGTCTACCAAATATTTTCCATACACACCCATCCAAAAATATAACTACTAGTGTATCTAAAAATATAACTACTAGTCTACCCTAATATTTTCCATATACATCTATACAAAAATATATAATCCTTCCAAAAATATAAAAAAGTGCCAATTTATCCTGTACAATTTGGCTTTGTGCGCGAGTTCATCCATCTGTACAGCCGAAAAAGAGAAATAATGTCAGGTAAAATTGGACAAATAATGAAAAATGTCCATGAAAAGTTAAGGTCACATTACCAAATTAAATGACTATCATTATCAAATTGTAAATAAAACAACAACATTCTTATGTCTATAGCATTACCACTTTTGTATTTCATTGTTTAGTTTTTTGAACGGACTTAAATGCAATTCAAAGAAGAACAAGTTAAAAATAATTAAATAAAACAACAGTTCACAATAATATGCAATGGACTTCTCAACTAGCAAATAAGCAGAAGACTTAGGGCCAACACTAAACAACACTAAACAAAGTTAAGTTCACAATAATAAAACAACAGTTCACAATAATATGCAATGGACTTCTCACGGCCGGTGTTTGCATTTTTTATCACATTGTTTAGAGGCAGTTACATCTAGCTAATTAATACTTAATAGAAACCAGAGATCAGGTTTCCCTCCTAATTCTGAAGACTTGGGGCCAACACTAAACAGTGTCTTTTCATTAATAATTTTTTAATTTTGTTTGGGTAAGTAATTCATTTTCGTTAACTTAAACAATATGATAAAATGTTTGTTGTTGATCACCGAGTGGAACCTCAATTAAAAATTCATTGCATCAGTTTATGTTCTTTTTGGAATTTAGTCTTACAAAGTATTGCAAAATTTGATAGCCCACTATTTGGGTATGTTGGTGCACCTGCCTATGCTACCACATTGTCCTTATTCATTTACTGGGTTACCTAAAAGCATGTTGTGTTTGAGATTTATGTATCTCCTTTAACTAGCCTACTAAAATTGTACAAAGATCATTGTAAACCCTATACTACCCCACGTGTTATATTTTAGTTTTGTAATGGTATGGAACAAAGACTGAAAATTATTCCAACGAGTAAAAAAAAAAAAATTCACGCTTGCTTTGAAATTAGATAAAAAAAAGGTATGGAAAGATAACTGGTGTTCAATTTTTGACCCCAAACGACATGTTTTCACCTTTTTTCATCACATTTTTTTGTCTAAATATCTAACCTTGCGTCCAAGTATGCTTCCAAATGTCATCAAAAATCAATTTGCAAAGAAAATAAAAAAGAAAAACATTAATATATTATCAATTACCAATTTAGCAAAAATGCATTTTCTACCGAAATTTGACTTTCATCTATACTAAATCACAAAACAACAGCTAATCTAATTGGGGGCAAGCTCTTGCAAGTTATATGAACAACAATGAACCTGCTAATATTGATGAGTTTTATTGTCATATAGAATGGTTCAATGAAAGTTGGATCTTTGTTCTACTAACTCCAGTTATCTCCACAAATTTCACTATCTACCAGTGGATGTCCCTTTGATACAACTTTACTATCTCACTCACTGTTTCTCTAACTTTGCTTAGAAAGAAATGAGAATACTAATATGGGTTGAATGTTTTTAATGGGTTTTCAATTTCACAAAATTTGAACTAAGATAGATCGACATAAACAATATAAAACTAAGCATTTTAGTATGTTATGATCATGTTCAATGTTTCAAAGTTTGTAATAGCAATTTAACAATGTTGCAAGTGTAACTTTCTTAAACAGTTGTGTTTTAACCAATATATACTATCCAACATGAGAAAAATGAAAAGATAAAGCAAGATAGACTTACCAAAAAGGCAATCTAGGGATGCCCCTCCCCTAAATTGTCCGTTGAAACCTTGTTTCTTAAGAAACTGGCAACTTGAGTCAGCAATTTAGCACGCTCTTATGGGGTCATGTCTCAAACGGTCTTGAAATGTCCTCATTTTTTGCATTACATAACAAAATATGATATTACACATTATGAGCTTATGTTTTAACGTGTATATATATATAATGTGAGTGACATGCGTAAATATGTTTATATTAGACAAAAGCATCACTCCAAAATACTGTAAAAAATAAATTAAAATCAAATATTCAACATATTTAAAATGAAACAGATATAGATTTCATTTAAAATGTAACAAAAAAATAAAAATAAAACAGAGAAGTTCCATTTCTGTACAGTGTCCAGTCACCCTCTAAATCAGTACAAGAATAAATGTGCACTGATATGTAAATTGGCAAAATAATAATAAAAATAAATAAATAAGAAAGACAGCAAACAATACAATGATACACCCAGGAAAGCCAAAAAATATTATAGCAAAATGAGATTTCAGTGATAACAAAAATTCCGCTCCACCTCCAAATGGCAATAACGATCCCCATGCCCAAATGTGAAATATAAAGGAAAACAAATTATAATAATCAACATTTTGACCTCTTCAACAAAATCTATGGAAATCACAGACTGAAATCTATTTGCCAATAAGGTGTATACCAGACTCTAGCCAAGCTAGGAAAAATATAAATCTAGATCTTGAATGAGATGTAGTAAACTCTTTTTAAATTCAAAACCTGGATAAGGGAAAAAAACTCACGGAAAATGCTTGAAAAATCACAACCATGTACACCATATCTAAGTTGCAATCATCAGTTTCGACCTTCAATCCAAACCAAATGTCGTTGTGACAGTCAATCCAGGGGCAGCCTTGAAGATTACAATAAATTAGCTTCAAGCTTCAATGAAAACTAGGGAATAATTCGGCCTGTGCTAGGAAAAACATCACCAAGCCGTTTGGTCTTCTTGCTCAAAATTAAACAACACACAAATTGTCAACACAAGCAGGTAGTTCAAGCTTGTTTTTCAAGATTCTGAATGTGCACATTTTTCAAAACAATTTCGTTTTCAGCTAGAAGTCTTTCAATCATCTCATAAACCCTCTTTGTACACATTTACTTTGATAAGAATTCAAGCACAAGACATTAACCCTAGCAGTCTGCTATTATTTATTTATTCTTTAACTAATAGCAGTGCTGCTCTTCACTAAAGTAGTCTTTTTGTATGTACCTGTAATTTCTGGCCCTGCAACATCTCTTCTTCAAACCATCAAAAGACCTGCAGATGAAGACCAACGAGGCCAAACATGATTAGTGATTAATCTCTACTAAAAGTTTTTGAGCACTAAATGGATCTAACAGATGCAGACCGTTTCTTGCCATTCCTAGCAAAAGCCTCCGCACATTTCCTGTTTCTTCCCCCTATTGCCATATCAAAACAACATAATAAGGTTGCATGTTTCTATCATAAGCAACCGATGTTATGAAGGAAAAATTTGTATAACTAGGAAAGCAAAGAAATCTATCTGGCTACTTACAGCAAGTTGTTATAAGGTCAACCACACCACAGCTTTCGAAAAAGGTGCTATCCTTGACAGATGAGAACAGCAACTTGGAAAAGGCCTTCATTTCTCTCAAACCAATTCTCATTATTGCAGCCTAGTAATCATATAAACGGTCAAAATGCAAAATTTTCCAAAGGTAATGTGTGTGGACTTGGAATAATGAGTTTAAAGCACCTATAATTTTTTTTTTTTTGGCCTTACCTTTGTGTTATTTCGCATCTCCAAACCATCCACAAAACCTGTTCAATTTTACATCAAATCGTTTCATTAACTCATAAAACATAGTAAAGAATACTTGAAAGCGAAACAAACAGTGGACTGCCAAAACCTGCTGCAAATGCCACAACATTTTTCAAGGTCCCGCATAGTTCAACTCCTGCCACATCTTGAACCTGTATTTCACCCCAATAAAACACACAATTCAAAAAGTGCTTGTTTTTATTACTGACAGAGAACCAAAACACCGCTGATCTGTTTATAACCATGCAACACCTGGCAAACTTCGTTGTGTAGTTCTTCACTCCTTATTTCCTGTATTAAAATAAAGAAAATACAAAAAATCATATTTTTTTTTTGTTTTTATTTTCTACTCAAAAAAATTAATTCAGAAATGTCATTCTTACATGCCAACTTGCAATAGCTTTGCACATGAAAACAAGTGAACTCGAAGCCCCTGATGGGTTTGCTCTAACCTGCAAACAATTGCACACCAAACTAGGATTACATTTCTAATCTCAGCTTAATTGGAAGATGAAGAAAGTATAGGCATACCATGGCACATAGACCTCGGAAGGCATCCTCCTCAATATCGTCACGTATCTTGCCACAATTTGCTAATGACATAAGGCTGCAAGTAGACTGATAGTGATATAGAAACGCTTACACTTGGCAAGACTATGTCTGGCCAACAAATTTTAATGCACAGGGTACATCCACAGCACATGCAACACAACAGGCTCCTCCATAATGACAGTCTATGAAGATAAAATTATGAACACATGGACAGATTTACCATAATCTAGGGACAATAGGTTTGTCTTTTCCTGACACAATAAATGAGGATGTAAAAAACAATTAAATGACAGTGTGCAACAACATATAAATGACCATCAGAAATCAAAATTTATTTGCATCATTTCATTTTCATGGAGCATCATTTAGCAAAAACTAAAAACATATTGCACAGAGAGAGAGAGAGAGAGAGAGAATTAGAGAAGGGGGAATACCAAACTCCTTATCCCACTACCAAGACCTTCAGCAAGTCCAGAGAACAAGTCCAAAGAGCACACAATGAATTCTTTATCTTATCATACTGAACCCCAGCTGAAATAGGATCGACCTGCGGCCAAAGTGCCAATCAATACGAAAACGATGCTCACAGTAGAAGAATTCAAATTCAGGGGGAAAAATGTGTTCGTGAACCAAGATAAGGAATGCAACCAGCAAAGCAAACTGCAGAATTCATGCTCACATATAGAACAAAGAAGCTTGGAGTCTAGGCTTGAGGTTCATGTATTTGACATAATACAAGTTTAGCAAAGCTCTAAACAAACCGAAGCTAGAGCTTCTCAAAGAAGATGTTGCAATCACAAGGCCAATCAAAGCAGAGCTTCTCAAAGATAGAGCTTTATTAATTTGTAATTTTTTTCCACTGACCCAACTGTCAAGTAATTGTCCCTAGTTAAATATCCTGGCACTTTTAGGCAGATGTTGCAATCACAAGGCAAATTAATAGAAAAAAGATCTTATGATTTCCAGATATGAATGCACACAATTAAAAATGGAAAAAGAAACAATCAACACAACAGGAAATTTTCATAATGTCTGACACGGATAGGCCCACAAGGCATACGGCCCACAGTAAACCACCCCAAACCCATCGCTTGGGACCAATGGCATAACCCGGTTGGCAAAACCCAGGACAGCTGGAGGCCATCTAGACATGGAGGGCCAATGGCATTTGGGCACATGGCAGGTGGGACACGGGCCACATCAGCAGACAAAGATCTGCAAAGTTATTATCACAACACATCACCATTAATGCATCCCATCACAGCATTTTTTACGACAACACCCCCTCGTCGGAACAGAGCCCCATCACCCTGAACAAGGTAAGCTACGGCACAGGCTTTCGGCGAAAGGAAGCACGTCACAAGAGACAGGGAAATGATGACCAAAGAATATAAGCAAGGATAGAAAGACAAGAATAAGGTTAAGTTATCTCTCTCTCTCTATTCCTCTCTCTACATTCACTACTCCTTCCTTTACTAATTCTCACACCGGAGGGTTCACTGGGGGACTGCCCCGCTCCCCTTTGGGCTTGCATGCAGTTCATTTGACGGAATCATCACCCCGAACCGGAACCTGAAGAGCCTGGACCAGCCCGACCCATCCACCCGGGAAGAAGAACGTTATCAGTTGGCGCCGTCTGTGGGAACTTAGTGGTTTATCCGTGCGCTAGTTGTGTTCACTACCGCCGGAGCCCTCCCTTCTCACCATCACCTTTCCCTCTTGCCCGTCCAGGTGTATGGTCACGACTAGGTCCATGGCTTCTCACCACAACGCCGCCGATCACCAAACAGATCCCTCCCACCCAACCAACCCACCACAGTACATCATCGAGCTCACCAACAGCATTAACCGCATGGCCGAGCAAAACCAGGCCCTGATCAATGCGTTACTCCAAAGAAACCCCCCCGTTCCACCTCCAAACGTTCCCCCCAACCAAGGAACAGCCCCAGACCATCCCGCTCCACAGCCCCCTCCACCTAACCCAGAAGGTTCGCAGCACCTTCCTCCCCAACATGAAAACATACCACCTCCACGCCCGCCGGTTGCAGTACTGACCCCTGAGGGGGAAGCTAGCAGCGTCCAGCCTCCATTGGCCGACCATGGCGACACCACCCCCCTCTGGGACGCTGAAATCCGAGCTATGAAACTCCAACTACAAGGGGTCATGCAGAACATCCAGCACAAGCCCTCGGCCACCGCCAACTCACCTTTTGTTGCCTCCATCCGCGACAAACCATTGCCTGCCAAATTCAAGATGCCTACCATTGACTCCTTCGATGGCACGACGGACCCAGTCGACCATCTGGAATCCTATCGCACCCTCATGATCCTCCATGCTTTCCCTGACGAGATCATGTGCCGAGCTTTTCCAGTGACACTAAAGGGATCAGCTCGACTGTGGTTTAGCCAGCTACCGGCGGAATCCGTCTCCGCCTTTCAACACCTCAGTGACTCCTTCCTGAGCCATTTTATTGGAGCCCAGCGTCAGAGACGCCCAGCCACCCAGCTCCTTAACATTCATCAGACCGAGGGGGAGTCGCTCCGCAGCTTTGTCACCCGTTTCAATACCGAAGCCCTTCAAGTAGCAGAAAATGACGACAAGGTCATCCTCACCGCCTTTATGGCCGGCCTGCGGTCGTCTGACTTCCTCTTCTCCCTCTCCAAAAACCCCCCAACCACCATGGCAACCCTACTATCCAAAGCTCAGAAATACATGAATGCAGAAGATTCCCTGGCCGCTCGACAAGAGCCAACCCCTAAAAATCCGACTCCCAGAGAAAAGAGGAAATACTCCGAGCCCAGAACCGCCCAGTATAATGACCACCCCCCCCGAACTGACCGATCGATTCCGACCCGACCGCCCGGTCGGTTCGAGCGGTACACCCCTCTCAACTCCCCTATGGATCACGTCCTCAACCAGATCCAGCGGGACTACCCCCTCAAGTGGCCCCTACCGGCCTCCAAAAAACAACAACAGCAAACAAATAAACCTACAAAAACAATAAATGATAATGAAAAATAAAACAAAAACTACAAGAAATATATATATATAGTTTGCAGGAAGGGAACAAAAATTGCATATTTTCTATTTCTATTTTCATAGGCATATTATCAAACAGGACCGGTCGACTCCGACCCGACTGCCCGGTCGGTTCGAGCGGTACACCCCTCTCAACTCCCCTATGGATCACGTCCTCAATCAGATCCAGCGGGACTACCCCCTCAAATGGCCCCTACCGTCCTGAAACCCTTCCACCCGGAAAGATCAGTCCAAATACTGCCGCTTCCACCAAGACCATGGCCATACCACCGACGAGTGCATCAACCTCAAAGACCAGGTTGAGACCTTCATCCGCCAGGGCCGCCTCAGCCGATTCACAGACCCCCGCCTCCCACAGAGGCAAAGAACTGACCATCCCAGGAACAATCGCCGACGCACACCACCCCGCAATCAAGCCCCACCAAACGAAGGCCACGATCGCCTGCCACCGCAGCCTCGGCCTCCGGGCAATCCCCCTCCACCAGTCGGAGAAATCAGAGTCATTTTGGGGGGCCTTGCTTGCGGGGGGCCATCCCGCTCGGCTGAGAAGGCAGAACTCAGAAAAATCAGGCAAGGCTCAGACAAAGCAGTGGCGACGGTGGACCGACCTCCCAAACAGTCAAAACAATGGATCGAACCCATCACCTTCACCGGCACCGACTATGCAGGAGTCCGTTACCCACATGATGACCCCCTTGTCATTTCCGCCATCCTCTCCAACTACAGCGACGGTGGACCGACCTCCCAAACAGTCGAAACAATGGATCGAACCCATCACCTTCACCTTCACCGATACCGACTGTGCAGGAGTCCGTTACCCACATGATGACCCCCTTGTCATTTCCGCCATCCTCTCCAACTACAAAGTCAGACGAGTCCTCATAGACAACGGCAGCTCCTCAGACATCATCTTCCTCAATTGCTTCCGCCAACTCAAGATTGGGGAAGAGAGCTTGTCCCCTCTCCAAACCCCTCTGGTCGGCTTCACCGGCGACCGAGTGACCTCCATCGGCTCCATCGATCTGCCTATCACCATCGGCGAGCACCCGCGACAGACCACTAAGCTGCTCACCTTCCTTGTGGTCGACTGCCCCTCCGCTTACAACATTATCCTTGGCGGCACAGCCCTAAATGCCTTCCAAGCCATCACTTCCACATATCATCTGGCCATGAAATTTTCCACCGATCTCGGCGTCGGAACTGTTAAAGACGAACAAACCATGGCCAGGGAGTGTTATGTCGCCTCACTCAAGGACGTCAAGCTAAAAGAGGCCATGATCATCGAAGGGCTTGACGTCCGAGACGAGGACGAGCTGCTCAGAGGTGAACCTGTAGAGGAACTTGTTGAAGTCAACATCGACCCCACCAACCCAATCAGAACCGCCAAGATCGGCAGTCAATTACCCGCCCAGGCCAAGGCCGACCTTACTGCTCTCTTAACCGAGCACAGAGATGCATTCGCCTGGACCCATTCTGACATGCCAGGCATCGACCCCTCCTTCATAACCCATCGCCTCAGCATCGAACCCCATTTTCAACCCCACCGCCAGAAGCAACGCATTTTCCATCCGGAGCACAACACCCTTATAGCCGCCGAAGTTGACAAACTCCTCGAGGCCCAATTCATCAAAAATGTGGACTATCCTAAGTGGTTGTCCAATGTGGTCCTCGTCCGCAAACACAATGGCAAATGGCGGCTCTGTGTCGACTACTCTGACCTGAACCGAGCTTGTCCCAAAGACAGCTACCCCCTTCCTCGCATAGATCTACTGGTCGACGCCACAGCCGGTCATCAAATGCTCAGCTTCATGGATGCCTTCTCTAGGTACAACCAAATCCTGATGCACACATCTGACCAGGAGCACACATCATTTATTACCGACCGAGGTACCTACCACTACTGCGTAATGCCGTTCGGATTGAAGAATGCTGGGGCCACTTATCAGCGGCTAGTTAATACCGTTTTTCATCACCAAATAGGCCGGAATATGGAAGTCTACGTCGACGACATGCTAGTCAAAAGCAAATACTCCTCCGATCACCTCACTGATTTACGTGAGACCTTCGCCACCTTGCGCAAGTACCAGATGAAACTCAACCCAGAGAAGTGCGCCTTCGGCGTAGGGTCTGGCAAATTTTTGGGCTTTATGGTCAGCCAGCGCGGCATCGAAGCTAACCCTGAGAAGATCAAGGCCTTGGTTGAGATGCAATCGCCTAGGACGGTCAAAGAGGTTCAGAGACTCACCGGCCGAGTGGCGGCCCTCAACCGCTTCATCTCCCGTGCAACAGATAAGTGCTTGCCCTTCTTCAAAGTTCTTCGGCAGACTTTTGAATGGACAACTGTATCCGAAGAGGCCTTCCAACAGTTAAAGCAATGCATGGCCAACCCCCCCTTCTCTCCCAAGCTATCACGGGCGAACCCCTCTTCCTCTACCTAGCAGTATCGGGAACCGCAGTCAGCGCAGCTCTCC